GGAGGGCCTGGCATGCTCTCTGGTCCATGGGATCACGAAGAATCAGACACGACTAAACGACTAAACAACAAAGCTGGAAAAAGATCTGCAAATTGCACACGAATGCGAAGAAGATCCCGGCTAATTTCCGATGCCTGTTTCCAAACGTGGGCCTTCTGTAGCCTCATCCATACAGTCCCTAAAATTTCAGGCCACATTTTTAACTTACCGCACACCAAACCGGGAGTGAGGGTCTCTCACCTCTGCAAAAGAGAATTCCACAGCGGGGACCCCCCCAAAGGAGGTGAAGGCGAAGGCACTGCTGTCCATAGGAATAGGACGGATCCTGGCACAGATGGGAAAGTCAACAGATAGAAGAAGAAACAAACAGATATTAGGGGAAATCTCATTCGGGGAAGTGAACCCTTTTTCGACCATACGGTGCAAGTGTGCCCATCCCCTTTAAGGCAGCCATCTTTTTTGACAGCCACATTTATATTATTGATATTTCACTTCCAGGGACTGTTATTTGAGATGGGGGCTAAAGAAGGGCCACCACCAAGAAGGCCAGTCTTAATGTCTCTGTCTGCAGAAATCCTTAGTGGTTGCTCTCCAGAGGTCCAGGGGCTCTGTTTTGCTCAGCACAAGTGGCTCCTTCCCAAGTTTTGACCCCAACATAAAAAGTGGCCCAAATGGGAAGAGGAGGCTCGGGTGGTTTGAAGATTTCAAAACCAGGAAGGGAGGAAGGAAGGAAGGAAAAGGAAGGAGAAGGAAGGAAGGAAGGAAGGAAAGAAAGAAGGAAGGGAGGAAGGGAGGAAAGAAGGAAGGAAGGAAGGAAAAGGAGGGAAGGAAGGAAGGAAGGAAGGACGGAAGGAAGGAAGGAAGGAAAAGGAGGGAAGGAAGGAAGGAAGGAAGGACGGAAGGAAGGAAGGAAGGAAAAGGAGGGAAGGAAGGAAGGAAGGAAGGACGGAAGGAAGGAAGGAAGGAAAAGGAGGGAAGGAAGGAAGGAAGGAAGGACGGAAGGAAGGAAGGAAGGAAAAGGAGGGAAGGAAGGAAGGAAGGAAGGACGGAAGGAAGGAAGGAAGGAAAAGGAGGGAAGGAAGGAAGGAAGGAAGGACGGAAGGAAGGAAGGAAGGAAAAGGAGGGAAGGAAGGAAGGAAGGAAGGACGGAAGGAAGGAAGGAAGGAAAAGGAGGGAAGGAAGGAAGGAAGGAAGGACGGAAGGAAGGAAGGAAGGAAAAGGAGGGAAGGAAGGAAGGAAGGAAGGACGGAAGGAAGGAAGGAAGGAAAAGGAGGGAAGGAAGGAAGGAAGGAAGGACGGAAGGAAGGAAGGAAGGAAAAGGAGGGAAGGAAGGAAGGAAGGAAGGACGGAAGGAAGGAAGGAAGGAAAAGGAGGGAAGGAAGGAAGGAAGGAAGGACGGAAGGAAGGAAGGAAGGAAAAGGAGGGAAGGAAGGAAGGAAGGAAGGACGGAAGGAAGGAAGGAAGGAAAAGGAGGGAAGGAAGGAAGGAAGGAAGGACGGAAGGAAGGAAGGAAGGAAAAGGAGGGAAGGAAGGAAGGAAGGAAGGACGGAAGGAAGGAAGGAAGGAAAAGGAGGGAAGGAAGGAAGGAAGGAAGGACGGAAGGAAGGAAGGAAGGAAAAGGAGGGAAGGAAGGAAGGAAGGAAGGACGGAAGGAAGGAAGGAAGGAAAAGGAGGGAAGGAAGGAAGGAAGGAAGGACGGAAGGAAGGAAGGAAGGAAAAGGAGGGAAGGAAGGAAGGAAGGAAGGACGGAAGGAAGGAAGGAAGGAAAAGGAGGGAAGGAAGGAAGGAAGGAAGGACGGAAGGAAGGAAGGAAGGAAAAGGAGGGAAGGAAGGAAGGAAGGAAGGACGGAAGGAAGGAAGGAAGGAAAAGGAGGGAAGGAAGGAAGGAAGGAAGGACGGAAGGAAGGAAGGAAGGAAAAGGAGGGAAGGAAGGAAGGAAGGAAGGACGGAAGGAAGGAAGGAAGGAAAAGGAGGGAAGGAAGGAAGGAAGGAAGGACGGAAGGAAGGAAGGAAGGAAAAGGAGGGAAGGAAGGAAGGAAGGAAGGACGGAAGGAAGGAAGGAAGGAAAAGGAGGGAAGGAAGGAAGGAAGGAAGGACGGAAGGAAGGAAGGAAGGAAAAGGAGGGAAGGAAGGAAGGAAGGAAGGACGGAAGGAAGGAAGGAAGGAAAAGGAGGGAAGGAAGGAAGGAAGGAAGGACGGAAGGAAGGAAGGAAGGAAAAGGAGGGAAGGAAGGAAGGAAGGAAGGACGGAAGGAAGGAAGGAAGGAAAAGGAGGGAAGGAAGGAAGGAAGGAAGGACGGAAGGAAGGAAGGAAGGAAAAGGAGGGAAGGAAGGAAGGAAGGAAGGACGGAAGGAAGGAAGGAAGGAAAAGGAGGGAAGGAAGGAAGGAAGGAAGGACGGAAGGAAGGAAGGAAGGAAAAGGAGGGAAGGAAGGAAGGAAGGAAGGACGGAAGGAAGGAAGGAAGGAAAAGGAGGGAAGGAAGGAAGGAAGGAAGGAAAGAAGGGAGGAAGGAAGGGAGGAAGGGAGGAAGGGAGTTGGATGGATGGAAGCCAAATCTCTCAGCTCTTACACCTCGGTCTCCCAGCGCCGGCCTTGTTCTGTTATCTGGTCAAAAATGCTTTGGCCGCTGCGACTCGGGCTGTCAACCTGTAGGAAAATGTACAGGAGATGGAGAGAGTTTAAACCCAGGACCCTTTTGGCGTTTCCAACTGCACCAAACACGACTTGGAAAGAAGGAAACATTCTTTTTTGGGCCAGGAACCTGCAGGACCCACACAAGTTGGAGGATTCTGCGGGTTCTCATCAAAAATAAAAAGATATTTATCAAAGCTCCAACCATGACATAGCATGTGAAGCTCTCCCTTTGCCTTGTAAAAAACAAGAAACCCCAAGTCAGGTGAGGCCCGAAGAGCCCCTGCAGAGGACCCAGGCGTCCTGCCTCCCCATCACACCCTGAAGGTGACCAAGATCCTGTCTCCGCCACCAGCCTTTCCCCAGAAGGGGGCTGCGTTTTCCCCACCCCGTTCCCTGCACCCCAAGGACTCCGGGGCCCAGCCTGCCTTCCCCTTGCCTGACCTGCTGGGGCCCAGAGGGGGTGCTCGCGCTCCCACCGGGAATCCTCCTCCATAAGGGGGGGAGGGCAGTGTGTTTGTGTGTGTTTGTGTGTGTTCCACTCACCTGCCTGATGACACTTTCAATGAGGCTCACAAGGGCTGGGCTGGTCTTGGCAAAAAATACATCGTCTCCTGGAATGGGGAGAGAGGACCATCCCGGAGCATCAGCCATGGAGACCTCGTAGACCTTTGTACATTTCCCATTTTACTGCCCCCTTTAACGCTCCCCCTCCAAAAGTGCTTCTTCTCCTGCCCTCATGAACCCTCAAGGTCAACTCCATTGGGTCATCATGATCATTTCCTTCCTTCCTTCCTCCCTCCCTCCCTCCGTCCCTCCCTCCCTCCGTCCCTCCCTCCCTCCGTCCCTCCCTCCCTCCGTCCCTCCCTCCCTCCGTCCCTCCCTCCCTCCGTCCCTCCCTCCCTCCGTCCCTCCCTCCCTCCGTCCCTCCCTCCCTCCGTCCCTCCCTCCCTCCGTCCCTCCCTCCCTCCGTCCCTCCCTCCCTCCGTCCCTCCCTCCCTCCGTCCCTCCCTCCCTCCGTCCCTCCCTCCCTCCGTCCCTCCCTCCCTCCGTCCCTCCCTCCCTCCGTCCCTCCCTCCCTCCGTCCCTCCCTCCCTCCGTCCCTCCCTCCCTCCGTCCCTCCCTCCCTCCCTCCCTTCCTTCCTTCCTTCCATCCATCCATCCATCCATCCATGACTTTTTGAGCCAGTCTTCCTGATATTCTACCCACGCCCCCACCTCACTCCCCAATCCTGGGCTGGGCCCCTCCTTTGGCCCCAAGCATCTCCGGCGGTGCCCTGCCATGGGCTGGGGTCCTCCTCCAGTCCTCCATTCCCTTTCATCCATCCCCTCACCCCCTTTTCCCCTCCTTGTCATCACCCAGGACAGCCCTTAAACCTGGCAGCCCTGGGGACGTCTCCCCCCCCAACCTTTTGCCTACGGGGCCGAAAGGTTCCCCGAGGTCGCTGCGCCCTTCTGCTCCCAACCGGGCTCCTGGGGTCTCCATCCGGTCCCCTCTTCTCTCCCACTCACCTAGAACGGCGTTGTCCAGGCTGATGTAAGCCGCTGCCTTTAGGTGCAACATCGTGAGGTACCCCTACGAGGAGACAGGACGGGGTTAGGGTTAAAAAGAAGGGGGTGCCGAGCTTAGAAAGGCAGGGGGGCAAGAGAACCAAATCGTGGGAGGAAGGAGCAGCCAGAAATTGGCGGCCGGGGAAAGGGATCTTTCCCAGGTTTGGACACCTTGCTGCCCCCCCCCCATATCCCAGTGGTCAAACGCCAACTTTCCTGTCCTGGAAGGGGCATTGTGTGGGACTGGGAAAAAGAGCTGCCCCTCCAGTGGGTTTCCATTGGGGCTGTCCTTCCCTCTCCCCATGTTCATGGGATCTACCTTACAGACCACAAGGAACTGGGTGGAAGGGAAGCAGAAAGGAATGCCCTTTTCTCTGGGAGAATTCGCCCTCGCTTCACTTCTCCTCCCTGTCGAGTCCTCTTTGAGAGATTCCAGGTGTCGTCCCCCCCCAGCCCCAAAGACACTTTTTTGAACAAAACGTGACCCACACCCACACCAATCTAGGCACACCCACCAACCCATAACCATCTCCTTTTCCCAAATGTCCCCCTTGGCTTAAACCCATCTCATATTTCTGCAACGCATAACGAAATCCATGCTCCCTCCTCTCCAGAGCTTGGAAATGTGAACTTTTTTGGACTACACCTCCCAGAATCCACCAGCTGAGGGTGGTGGCCCATGGGAATTGTATTCCAAAGAAGTTCCCTTCCTAAGCTTTGCTGTTTTCTCTGCCTCCGGACTCGGCCTCTTGCAAACCTCGAGCCATTCCGTGGAGCCCACGCTGCCGAAATCGCCAGCATCCCAACTGACAAAAAGCAAACTCCTTCGTAGTTGGAATCCTACGACATTGGAAACAAAACACAGACAGGGATGGGATCAAAAAGGCCCGGTCCTTCCTCACCATCTCTATTAGACCCAGAACAACTGGGTCCCTAGGCCACCAACCCTCACCCCACAGCCGCCTAGTACAAACCAGCTTGTGCTTCTTAAAAGACTGCATTTATTTACATCCCCTTTAAGGCAGCCATCTTTTTTGTCAGCCACACCCCACCTTCAGCATGGGGAGGCGGCTATGCTATTTTAACCCATGCATGGAAATAATTTGTTGCCCAAGTACAATAAATTCTCAGCAACGAATTTAGAACATTTTGTTTCCATGGGCAAAAAGCTGAACTTTGGTGATGCTCAGAAGGTTCACTTGTTAGAGTCGTTTCCAGCAACATCATAAAGCTGGATGATTTCATGATTCATTTAATCATGAATCCACGAATGAAGATACTGTAAAAGTTTCCTAATGTTTTAAGGTCAACAGACTCAATGTCCTTAACTACTTTATCATCCACAAGATCTTATCGTCATAGCCGCCACTTCCCATCCCTGCCACCGTGTTTCCCCGAAAATAAGACAAGGTCTTACATAAATTTTTGTTCTAAAAATGCATTATGACTTATTTTCAGGGGATGTTCTATTTTTTATTTTTTACAGCCATCTACATTTATTCAGATACAGCCCTGGCCTCTTCTTCTGGTTGCTGCACAAGGGAGGAGGACGAGGGGTTCACTTCACTGGGGCTTATTTTTGGGGTAGGGCTTCTATGACGAGCATCCTGAAAAATCCTGCTAGGGCTTATTTTCAGGTTAGGTCTTATTTTCGGGGAAACAGGGTGCCCCACTCTGAGCGGGTCCAGCTTAGGAAACGCCTCTCTGATTTTACCTCCCTGGGCTTACCGTTCCGCACCATGGCTGCAAAAGTACGAGCAAGTTCGAGCAGGATTGCTGTGCCCACCCCAGACCGGGCGGCTCCGGGTCCCAGAGAATCACGCTGGGCCCCGACAATAAGGTAGTGATCTGGGAAGGTGGTAAAAGATTTTGAAAAAAGAAAGAAAAGACAAGTAAAGCAAAACTGAGCTGTTTGGGGATTACATCCCCCCCCCAGAGACCCCCAGCCGGCAGATGGTTGACTGGAATGGGTTACAAAGATCACCTCTTACACCAGATCCACGTCAAAGTGCTGGTTCTTCTAAAGCCCTAAAGGTCTTGGGTCCGAGCGACCTTAAAGACTGTGTCTCCCTTTATAATCCTGCTTGAGTGTTAAGAACATCAGGAGAGGCTTTTCTCTCTGTCCTGCTACCCTCACGGGCGCATCTGATGGGGACACGGGAGAGGGTCTTTCCCGGTGGTGGCTCCTTTAGACTCTGGAACTCCCTCCCACTGTAGAAGTTTTTTAATATTGTTTTGAGTCCTCTTACAGGAGGGTTTTTTTCTGAGTTACTGGATGTCTTAAGAGGGGATTTATAAAAATTAGGTTGCTGTATTTTTTAAAAAAATAAATAAGTTTTTAATATTGTTTTGAGTCCTCTTACAGAGAAAGTATAAATACTGTATTTCAAATGCATGAGTGAATAAATTGACATCATAATCAATTCCCAGGCCTGCCTACCTGGCTCAAATCTGCCTTCAATGCATCCAAATATGTTGTTAATCATCACGGACTGCTTGACGTTCTGCACTCCCAGCTGTAACCGGAAACTGGGTTCTGCAGGACCCAGGCGGTACAGGATGCCAGGAAGACGCCCCTTCCAGGCTTGGGGGGCCACGGGACCCGCCAGCTGCCTGCAAGGAGATGGAAAAAGGGGGTTTGGTGAGGAGTGGATCCGTGCTGTAACTGGGGAGAGGTGGACAGGTTGTGGCATGAACCCCCCCACAAGGGCACGGCCCCATAAACATCTCCCCTTCCGCCCTCCCCCCCGAGGTGTTGGGCAAACCCCTGCCTCCCACTCCACCCTCCAAATTTTCCTGATCCCACCTGTGGGGGGGCTGGCTGGGAAATGATAAATAGGGTTGTCCACTCCATCCAGAGAACGCCCGAGTGAGTGAAGGATGCTACAGTCCAATTCGCCTTCTGGCACACACACCCCATGACTCACCTGAGCAGGTAGGAGGCCACGTTGGCACTAATGGGATGAGCAGGGATTTTCGGGAGGCCCGAGGACTGGATCGGTGGAAACTGGGTGTGGTTGAAGGATGGGAAGCCCGGACTGTAAGGGTCTCCAGCACCCATGTGAACCTACCAGCAGACCAGGAGGTAGAGGAACAAGACCACGCTGTCGGCCACGATGACAGGACAAGAGAGCCTCCATAGGCAGTGGCAGTCTACCTCCGAACACTGACGAGCAACAGGAAGGGAGGTGTGTGCCTCCCGTTGCTCTGGTTTTAGGAATTTGTGGCGGGATCTGGGAGGGAGCCGGATTCTGGGCCAAGGGGCCCTCCCCCTCAAGATCTCTCGGCCCACGTGTGATCCGCTCCGGCCTCCTGTTGGGATCCCAGAAAAGACTCTACTCACATGTCCATAAATGCTCATGTTTGGGGACAGCCCTGGTTTGCGGGGGTCCTCCAGGACGTCAAAGGGGTCTGGGTAGATGAGAACCCCCTCGGCTCGGGACGCTTCCGCATTGGCCACCTGGGACGAGAAATGGATGAGGGCTCCCGGAACCCTATGGTTTATCATTTATTTATTTAACATGTTTTTACCCCCGCCTTCCTCCTGTCCCCTGAACAAAGACACCCAATGCTTCGGCTTCTGGGCTCCCATCTTCTAATCCACATCCTTTAAGCCCTCAAAAGGTTGGTATTATTTTCTTCCCCTGTAAGGTAGCTGTGCTTTTATTCTTATTATTTTTTTTACAAGGCACCCTAATATTCAGGCCACTGATTTGGAGCTGTTCTCTCTGTTCCTACCTAACATGAGAACAGGACTTGGGGAACATCGTTCCTCCCAAGGGTCGAATTCCATTTCAAAGCAATAGGAGGAGGAACCCTGTTCCAGTGTTGGGTGGTTCCAAGGGCTAAATGGCTGGGACCAAAAAACAGTGGGATGGCTCAGCTGGCAATGCCAGGTGCTGTAGGAGAGGCGAGCCAACTGTTCAAAGTAGAGGAGGGGAAAACCGTTGAAGCAAAAGTTATCACGGTATTTCACAGAAGCCCTCCTTGCAGTGAATCTGTTAGTCTTAAATGTGCCGCAACACTTCCGGTGTCCTTGCTTATGTTTGTTTTTTTACAGAAAAGTTGGGGAGCAAGCCAAAAATGTCGTTGCTCGACCAGGCATCCTTAACCTTGCGTGACTGTTTATAGGAAATTCAGGGAACCATACCTCACTCATTGAAAACTTTAATTTTTAGACCGGCCTTTCCGGAGTTTACAGCATCTTGACACAGTGGTAACCTCAGTGTTTATATCATTAGTTCTGTCACCTTGCCTTGAAATTACCTTTAATTATTTTATGTTGTTTTGCTGTTTTTTAATGTTATTGTACTGTAAACCATCCAGAGTGGTCTTGGTAGCCAGAGAGGTGATATAAAAGTCAAATGAATGAATGAATGAATGAATGAATGAATGAATGAATGAATGAATGAATGAATAATTTTAAAATAAAGCACCAACCTGCACAACTCTATCTGTCGCTGCTCTGACCTCCCTCCAACTCTGCATTGGTTTGCTTCAATGATATGGAAGGGACGATCCTCCCAGCTCTTCATCAAGAAGACCCTTTCTCCCTCCCTTCAACATCCTCCCCCCCAGATTCTTGCTATAACCCCAAAATTAACTGACTGTCCTTGGAGAGGGTGGCCTCACCTTCTCGGCGTAGCTGATCTCCCCGACGCGAACAAGGACCAGGTGACCCCGGGGGTTCACCCCGAGCTGCTTCAGAACCGCAAAGTCCTCGCGGCGCCCATAGTTGGCGAAGACCAGGCTGCCCTAAGGAGGAGAGGGGAGAGGAGACGGGAGAGGAGGTGAGGCTCAGAGGGGGCCACCGGCGCGTTTCGGGAAACGGGGAAAGCCCGGTGCTTTTGCCCAGGGGAGCAGCGGCCACAGAGGGACCTCCTTCGCTGAAGGACATTTCAGCAACACCGAGACGGTTCCCTTTCCACCGGCGGCTCTGGTCTGTTTCACCTTTCCTCCTGCTTTTCTACCGTTTTTCTGCCGATGGCCTTTTTCTTTAAAAAAAATGCTGAAAAATTTTCATGTGGCTGCTTTCAAGCCGTGCTGTGAACCTGCTTGGAAGGACCTTAATCCTGTGCCTTCAAGTTGGTCCTCACTTCTGGTGACCCTTTTCAGGGTTTTCCAGGTAGAGAGTGTCCTCAGAAGCGTTTTCCCCTTCCCTTCTTCCTGGGTTGCCCTCCTGGGACGACTGTCCCGCTTGCCCAAGGCTACCCTATTTTTCATGTGGCTGTTTTTAAGCCGTGCTGTGAACGTGCTTGGAAGGACCTTAATCCTTGTGGCCAGAACACCTAAAAACCATTGAGCTCTCCAGCAAATGCCTCAGGCTTCATGTACATGATGCCCACACATTTCATAAGTCGTGGTCAGTGGTCCAGATGGCCACAGCTGGGTTGCCATCTAGTGGTCAGAGGCGGAATTACAGCCCTTGTTGCGCCTTGTCTCTTTTCATAGCTGCGTCCCTCCATTCCTATAGGGCTGGCCCCATGGACACAGAGCACATTACCGTGACGGTGCTGGCACCACTGTAAGGGCAATAGACGTCCGGGTCCCCCAGAGGCAACTTCTCTAGCACCGCGCCACCGGGATCCACGCGGTGCAGAAAATTGGGTTGTCGCCTGCGGGCGGAGAAAAGGTGCAAGTGTCAGAGCAGACGGGCAATCACTCGCTCCCACCCCGAAAACCAAACCAGGCTTTTCCTAAAGCCCTCCCTCCCTCCCTCCCCCCCAAGTCTCCCCTCCAGGGTCCTCCACTGACCAGTCAGGACGCTGCAGCCCCACGTAGTGACTGTCTGTCCAGCTGTGGTCCAGGTCAAAAGAGTTGAAGGCATCCAGAACGTGGCGGGAGAGCGCGTCCAGGCGGGGGGATCCTGGCGGGTGGGGGGCCTCGCTCATTTTCCTGGGGTGGGGAGAGATCAGTGTTCCCGGACATGAGCCCGGAGGCCTCCCCTCGAATCCGCATCAGGTGGGGGAGAATCCAGACACTGGAAACCCTAACCCCTCTCTCTTTTTCTGGATGACAAGTTGGCTAATGGGTTGGAATTTACTGAAGCCTCAAGAGGAGAGATTTTAGGGCAGAAACAGACATTATAGCTACCTTGTAATTAGAACATGGGGCTCGTCAAGAGCGGGCAGTGAGTGTCACAGCAAGAACCTTTCCCACCTTCCCCAGTACGTAGGCCCTTTGATTTTTCTTGTTCTGTGATTTGTCTGCAGGATGTAAGCATGGGATTCTTCCGTGTCTGATTTCCCAAACGATGAAGATGGGCCTGAATCACATCTCTCCAGCACTCCTGCATTTCCAGCCCTAATCATGGGCTATCTATAATGTATATTTCTGCCCTTGTGCTGCGGTCCAGTTCTGGGCTGTCCAATCACCCAGAAAACATCCTGCTGGAACACGACCCATTTTTATTTGGGAGAAGGAAGTGACCATTCATACACCTCAGCACATGCGGGGTGGGGTGGGGGAGGAGAAGCATTATGCTTGCAGACGGCAATCCCTCCACTAGCCCAGCTGGGTACCTCTGGGAGTCGTAGTCCAGACACCCCAGACAGGGGATAATGGGAACTTAATTTTTTTTTTCAAGGCAACTTTTAGGAATAGCCAAAGTCGCCACCAACTGACCAAGAGACTTCGTCCCTCCCAGTTTAGTTAGGCCAGCTCTGGCTGGCAGCCGAAGGCCGGCCGGGTTTCAACTAGGGTCTTTCACTGCCCTCGCTGGAGAGCCTGGGCAGTGGGTTCAAACGGCGACCCCTTCCTCCAGTTCCTCCAGCAAGCACATGTTTTGGTTTTTGGGGGGTTCTGGGACCCCCGGTTTCTCCATAACCCCTGCCCCGTTCCTTCCCTGCAGTCCCCCAACGGCCATTGGGGGGAGGCAGGAAGTGTGGGAGCCCGGGAGGGGAGGGACCCTCACCGGATGGTCCCCTCGATGGTCTCCTCGTTGAGATACTTCTGGAACATCTCCCGCAGCGTGGCCCAGTACAGGAGGGCCCCGTCCTGCTTGTCGTCTGTCTCGTAGGGCCTTTCGTCGTTCACCATCGCCATGAGGTCTCCGCACCCTGAGCAGGGGGAGCCCCGGGGTGTCGTGTAGCCCAGGAGGAAGCCTGGAAAGACCAAGGGACAGGGGACGATGGGCTACCTGGTTTCGGAGCAGGGGGAACGGGGTGCCAGGCCTGTCTAGGGCAGAGTTCGGAAAGGATTTGCAGGTCTAGCAAGAATCACAGGAATCCCCCCCGTGTTCCAGAAGCTCCAAATCCGTTGCCAGGCACCTTGGAAAGTGCAGGTTTTAACCAATAAAGCCCTAAACGGCCTGGGTTCAAGCTCTCTCAAGGACTGCCTCTCCCATTATCCGCCGGCTCAGGTGTCAAGGTCATCAGGAGAGGCCAGTCTCTCGGTCCCACCACCCTCACAGGTGCATCTGATGGGGACATAGAAGAGGGCCTTGTTCTCTGTGGCTGCTCCTTTTGACTCTGGAACTCCCTCCCACTGGAGACCCACCTGGCCCCATCTTGGCTGCCCTACTGCAAGCTGTTAAAAGCCCTTTCTCTGCAGGCAAGCTTTTGCTGGGTGACTGGCTGCCAAGTGGGTTTTATTTTTTATTTTTTCCAATGGATTCCTCTGCCTTGTGGCTTTGAATCCATTTTTGTTTGTGTTGCTTTTGTTTACTGTCTTTTACTGCGATGTGTGTTGGATCCTTTTTTCGTAGTTGTATTCTTACTGTTTTTAGCTTTAAATATGGTTGTCTATGAAGGAAGCCACCTTGGTTCCCTTTTTTTAAAGGGGAATGGCGTGCTTAAAATATTTTAAATTAAATAAATGTATAAATAATAAAACAAAGAATAGCTCTGAGAAGCTTTGGCTAGCTAGAGGATTCTCAGAATGACAAACTTAAATGGAAAAAAAAACACCACCTTACTTTTCCTAGCTTGGTCAGTGATGTTGGTTTGAACCCTCAAGTCCCCTCCACCTCACGGGGACCACAGGAAAGAATGATCTCCGATAGGCCCCGTCCTCAAAACAGCCCCGATCAGGTCTTGCAGACTCAGAAGCCTGTGGCTTCCTTTAGGGGGACCGTCCATCTTGTGTTTTTGCACTTCCTCTTTTCCTGCTGACTTTTACTGGACCCTGCCTGGTGGTGGCCAAAGTACGACAGCCTCGTTTAACCCTAAATCATTTCAGCTTTTAGGCAAGGGGGGTTTGCTTCGCTGACCAAGAACAGTGGCCATCAAGAGAAGTGCTGGTCCTGTTTTTCACGTCTCTCTCTCTCTCGGCGCCTCTCTTCCTCTTCCTCGCCCCTCTGCTGCCTCTTTTTCTACCCAAAGCTTTCTTAAACCAAGACTTGCCCTTCCCTGTACTCAGGAAACCACACATTCATTGTGATAAATAAACCACGCAGAACGATCCTAAGACCGACCCCGCAGCTGAGGCAGGGGGGCAAAGGAGACCCAGTTTGGGGCTAATTCCAGGGCTGTTTGTTGGCCTCCGGCCTCTCGAACTCAGAACCTGCAAAGAGGCCTCTCTCTTTATGGACCCCAGCTCTCCTGAGGGGCTGTCCGGAGGTGGGTGGGATCCCGTTCCTCTTACCAACAACGAAGACGAAGATGCCCATGAGCCCGACGTACGCCATAGTCCTCCACCGCCCCTGGCATGGGCACCGGCCCCCTTCCCTCACTTTCCGGCGGCCGTCGCCCGCCAAGGTCCCCGCCGGGGTGGCCTCTGCCACGATGACCTCCACCTGCCGCCCGTCAGGGTCTCCCTCGTTTTCTGCCATATTGCGGTAGATGGTGTAGGATCGGCGAGTCGGTTTCTTGCGGTTCTGCGGTGGGGGGGCAGCAAGGGAATCGGGGAGAAAAAGTCAGGCCGAAGAAAGGGCTCGATCCGTTTCGAGAGGGGCTTGGCTGAAGGCTCGAGCCAGGCCTTCCACCCCCCACCACCACCACCCACCTGCCTGGTCTGGCAGATATGGGCACCTTTGTCTTACCGCATGGCAGGACCGGAACCTCCAGAAATCCATGGTGCCACCCACACTCCGCCCTGCCAGGAAAATCAGACAAAACAGGCTTGTCCGGGGGGGGCACCACTACCGTCCGAAATCGGCAGCAGCGCCAGATGCTGCTTATCATGGGGCTCCCCCCTACGTGACAGCTGCCACGGCCATTGCACCCGGGCCTCCGGCTTGGGGGCTCTTATCGCGGAGCGCAGGCGGCCGCCCTCAATGTGGTCTAACCGAGTCCTCGTACAGGGTGGGTAGGTGGGCAGGGATAAAAGCCCAGCCGGCCTGCCCTGAGGGAGGGGTGCCGTCCAACCTTCCTGCCTCCCCTTCTTCCCAAGGGGCTCAGCAAAGCACCCCAAAGGAAGTGCCCCCCCCGCTCGGCATGAAATCCCACGGGCTCACTTTTAGGTGTGCCCTGCGAGGGAGGGGGGTCCGGCGGAGAGAGCGGATAGGTCCCCAGGTCATGGAAGGGAGATTTTGAACCCGGGTCTCCTGAGCCCTGCTCCGGACTGGGAAGACCTCCGTCTCCGTTGAGACCTCTGGACGCTGGCGCTCCTCAGAGGGAACACGCGGCACAGCCACGCTCAACCCAGGCTCAAGCGGCGGGGGGGGGTTGGCTTGTGGCTCCCATCAGCCCCAGCCAGCTAGTTCAGTGAGGGGGCAGGGGATCATGGCAGCTGTAGTCCAACCACCCAGGAATCCCCGGCTAGCAGGCCTCTCCCCTTCCTGTCCGGAGAGCCATCCAGGAAAGACCTTTGGCCTCTGCTTGTAACTGACCGTGCTGGATCCGTCCCCAGATTTAACCCATTAGACACCAAGACCCTTTTCCTTCCCAGAGTATTGGGGAGGGGGGGTTCGATTCTTTCTAATTCCCAGGACCGCTTCTGGATAAAACCTGGAGATGGGGGGAGACTCTCCTGGTGCCCCCACCCTCCGATCTCCGGCCTTTCCTGAGCTGGGGCAAATTGCCTCGGGTGTCTGTGTATGTGTGCTTCTCTGCCCCATGCATCTTATTCAGGGACCATAAATTCGGGGTAGAAGTGATTTTATAAATAAATTGCATAGATAGTTGGGGTATGTGCCTATGTGCCCTGACATGTGTCTGTAGCTTTTCCATGACTATATGTAGAAGGACTGTCAGTGGGAAAGGAGGGCAGTAACAAGGATGCACTACATGAAGAGCAGTGTACATGGAAGTATGAGAAAGGATCCACTTTGGGCTGCCCCCCTTTGTCCCCCCCCTCCACATTCCCCCTCCGCCGCCCTTCTGCCTTTCCACAAACAGAAAATGGTGCTTCCAGGAAACTCAGCGCCTGGCCTGTCGTTCCACGAATTCGGCAAAGTGGAATTATTTTCGGGACCGGGGGGGGGATACTGAATGACAGACCCACACTAGGAAACCGTCCCTGGGGGACAGTCGCTCCCAGCCCACCCGCTAGCTTGTGGTCCTTCCCAAGCTCTGTGGGAGACATGAACCCCCGGGCGGGGGGGGCGTCCAAAGCACCCCTAAGTTGGTCCCGGCTGAGGATCCCCAAATCTTTGCCTGGCTGCCCCCCCGGTCAATCATAACTGACCTTCAACCCCCCCCTCCAAGCGTCCTTTCCATTCCCCTCCTGCATGCAATCCCCCCTCCCTCCTTCCCTGCAAAAGACTCACTGGCTCTTGAGGAGACCCGGCTTGGTGTCCCAACTCGGTTGATTTGGGCATCTGCCTCTCTGTCTCTTTCCTGCTCCTCCCCCCCCTGCCTGCTCCTCCCTTGTAGGCCACTGACCTTTCTGGGCAGGCTGAGCTCCCTCTGGCCAGTGTGGGGAGGGGGGGCTGGATTGCCCCGGGGCAGGAGGTGGGAGGGCAGGGCTTCTCCAACAGCCCAGTTTCTCCTTTGAGTTGCCAGCTTAATTTTAATTGAAGGTCCTTCCACTGTGGATTCCCTGCATCCGGGTCAGGGGGCTGGACTAGAGGACCCTTGGGTGCCCCTTCTGACTTGATCATGCTTTGGATCTCTTGAAACCCTGGGTTTGGGGTGAGGGGGGAGCCACATTCATTCCCCTGAGCACCTGCATCCGAACTGATCTGCTCTCCAGACCCCTTGCTGGGAAGTCCCCAAAAGTGAAGGATGATTCTGCCCCGGCTTTTCCCTTAGCCAAATGTGCAGCCTGATGGGGCTACTCCGGCTCAGGAGGTGGGAGTCACACAAGCCAACACATCACGCTGGATGGCAGGGGTCGGAG